AATTTTTTCACTAACTCCAAAAAGAAATTCTAGGGCATAATAAACGCCGAAAGAATGAAAGGTCAGAATATAATAAAGATTATGTTCACACAAACACAGATACATACATTTAATTTATTTTTTTTGCGGTGGGGGGCAGGGGGGGCGAAGAATCCCCCCCCCGAAAAAAAGTCCTGGCTACGCCCATGGTCGCGCTAGTGGGGAAATGTACATAGATCTCATCTCCGCCTGTCGTCCCGTCTGGGGCATAGGCCACCAACCAGTTTCCTCCAGGCGTCTCGATTCTAGGCGAATATCTCTAACTGTCCCCACGTCTTGCCCATCTGCCTGGCATCTGCCTCCATTTTACCTACAAGAGATCATCTGCGAAGAATACAATATAATTTTCATTTCTTTATATCGGTATCTAGTATGCCTACATGTAGGAAAGTGTATCGGAGATAAACGTGTCCTTTTCTTGAACAGACTTTCAGATCATACCACCGTAGTCTCATTATAGCATCTTCTGTAGGCCTATACTTCTCATTGATGAGGAAAATAAAAGTTGGTTAAGATTTCTCCAGAGTCCAAAGGTTTGTGATCATTATAAACTGCCCCTCCTTTATCAAACATGTAGCAGGGACATTTGGTTGTCGATTTGAAGTAATTTGAACGTATCTTAATTTGTTTCTGATGCGTTAGACCCTCCTGTCTCTCAGTCTGTCGATCTTTACTTGCATGATTGCATCAAATTCAAGTTCTACATTCTTGTTGTCAGGTTGTTGACATCATAATACGCTAAATGGTGTTTCAATTCTTAAAAACCATTATTCTGTTCATGATTCCTTTGGATGAGACAATCATGTTTCAAAAGCTTTCGTAGTAGAGCATCATCTTGACTGCTGAGATTAGAAATAAACGTTGCTATTAAATAGTTTGAATGGCTTTTATGCAGATTGAATATTTTTTTTACTGCTATTATAAGATTTAAATGTTTGACGACTATTATTTTGTTTCAATGTTTCATCGCTATTAAATAGTTTAAATGTGTTAATAAAGATCTAGGTTCGCGGTCAGCAATAAGCAAACAATAACCATTAGTGTCATGGCGGAGAACAGGAGAACAACACTTAATTATCTTGAACGAGTGCACCTTTGTGCACCATATCACCATCCCTTTTTCTTTAAAAAAATGTGTTTTGGGGAATATTATAAAAAAATCAAAACAACCAAAAACAACTAAACATAATTAGGCCTAACATATAGGCCTACACGCTTCAATGAATATGAAACATATCACATTTAAAAATCAACATTCAATAGTTCATTAAGAGACATAGTCATTGAATCTTGTCAGTTTCTTCATCTGATCCCTTGGTCGCAGGGAATGACGAGTAGTTCTTTGTCGCATCCAAAGTTTGTTTGTAATGACCTATGGCGAATGTTTTGATCTTCAGTTCTATTGTCGTGTAAATTAAATTGTCATCAGTATCGGGGAATATATCTTGTTCTGTTTCTCTGTTCAGGTTGATATGCAATCTGTTTCTCTGGTATACTGCACCATTGTCATAATGTAATCTCTCTGGTTTACTAGGGATTAGATTCTTCCACGTCTCCTTGAAGGGGCATTTGGTGATTGGAAATAGACCATCTGTCCAGTTCTCAGCTGACTCAAATTTCTTGACCTCTTATTGTAAGACGTTTTTTACGTTCATCTGACACTTTTCTTTCCTTTTCATTGAGTCTCTTGACTCAGATTTGTGTATTGTCTTGGAGTATTTCTAAGTGTCGGCTATGAACACTGTTTCTCCTTTAACATAGCCTACTGACAATGGAGAACATAGCGATAGAGACGCACTTATGAGACACTGTAGCCTCCTTTAACATAGCCTACTAACAATGGAGAACATGGCGATAGAGACGCACTTATGAGACACTGTAGCCTTCTTGGAGCAGAACTGAGTGTTTTTTTCGGAGCAGAACTGAGTGTTTTTTTTTTCGGAGCAGAACTGAGTGTTTTTTTTTTCGGAGCAGAACTGAGTGTTTTTTTTTCCGGAGCAGAATTGAGTGTTTTTTTCGGAGCAGAACTGAGTGTTTTTTTCGGAGCAGAACTGAGTGTTTTTTTTCGGAGCAGAACTGAGTGTTTTTTTCGGAGCAGAACTGAGTGTTTTTTTCGTCATTTTCAACAATTACTGTCCTGCCAGACGTATACTGGTCAAAATGTCAATGAACCTCATTCACCAATCGTAAACAAACAACATTTAGCCACGTGGTGCTCTATAGAATTTACGATCTCATGTTTAATTCATGATGGTTGTCACGTGACAGTTTTTTCCCCGTTGGTTTATCAATAAGATCACGTGACTAAATGTTGTTTGTTTACGATTGGTGAATGAGGTCCATTGTGAATACATTAATTGTGTTAAGAAATTATCTTGCTGATTATTTGTGTGTGTGTGCATTTTTAGATTTTTTTAAAAATCTGTTCCTGATTTTTTTATTATTAATATCCTCAAGCCAGCGCATCAGATTCGTCAAGACTAGATCTAGTTTTATTATTTACGTGTTGACCTCATATTTAATCTACATAGGGTTTAAAGTAAAAGTTAAGTCCCCCTTTCAGACCTTGTGGTCTATAGGGCTGATGTAAAGGTCAACTGTTTCTGTGGCCTACGGTTAACGAGGGTGTCATGTGGCCAGCACAACGACCAACCGCCTTTTTTTCCCCAACTTATGTCAGGTACCCATTGGAGCTCGCAAGGTGGTCAAAGAAAACGCATCAGGGACACCCTCAAAGCTTCTCTAAAGGCGTTCAGCATAGACCCAGCCCCTGGGAGACAAAAGCACATGCCAGAGCATCATGGCGTCGCGCTGTGAAAACTGGCGCACAGGTTGCTGAGGAAAAGAGAACAGCGCTGGCAGAAGAAAAACGGCAGATAAGAAAAGCAAGGCCCACGACACTAGCTCCAGCATCTGCGCCTCATAAAGGTAACATTTCATAATGGCCCTAGCAGTAAGGTAGTCCTACCAAAGTCTGCCCATTATGGAGCGCAGACACTCTTGATGGAAATGTTCCACGCAAAAGACAAATTCGTAGAATTGCTCCTTCCTCTCTAGTGCCATTAGACAAGGAAATGGGTTGCCTGAATCAGCCAGGAAAATCAATGAATTAACCGAATCTAAGTCAATGATTAACTTGCAAGACTGAATAGACACATGAATTGCATAAGATGTAGCCTAATTATCTTCTCTTTGGAAGTAACGTCTGAAAGATAAGAATGTAGGAAGGACCGCTGCTTTATGGACACTGATTTTTGTTGGTAGTCTATAATAGATTGTATGATTATATTTTAAAAAACAAATCTGTGCAAATATATTATGCTAGACCTAGACTAATGTTTGAGAAACTTGGTCACTGTCACGCTCCGTGGTTTCAGTGTATTTACTGGAATTTGGATGTGATTAAGAAATATCAAGAAAAACTTATTAAAAAAAAGGACTACTTCCTTTATACAACTTATAGAGCGATAATTTCTTCCCTCTCAGTAACTAATGCATATTAGATTTTACAAACATACTAATACAATACATTTATTACCACTAAAACAAAAGTAATTGAATGAACTAATTGGTTCACTTTTTGTTAGATTCACGTGTTATCCTAGACAATGAACAACTGTGCCGAGTTTCAATATGACCCGAGACTGGGAAGTGGAAGACCTAACGTGTCAAAGATTCCACCCAAACAAACGGGGCGAGTTAATCAAGTTTAAGCTTTGTAAAAAGACCAAGACGTCTGTTGTAGTCCCACAATGAACTTCTCTGTATGTTGTGTCTGTTTTATGGAATGTTGGTGTTTTTAATTTAAAAAGAAGAAAGTCTTTAAAATCACAACTAATTTCCAGCAAGGATCAATAAATCAGTCTATCATGTCTATCTTAACCAACTGCTGCTACATTATACAAACATTGAGAAATAAACACTTTTTTGTTGACATGGAATACACATTTTTAATGTAACCATTGTTTGTACTACATTGCACAGAGTTCATCCCACCACTGTACCAGTTCTATACGAAATTACATGCTTGATTCAGTACTTGACAAATCCCACAACAGACATGTATGAATACAATGAATTCAGAGTCATCAATACGGACAAGGAAGTTAAGTCACATAAGAAAGGGGCCAAATTGTTGCAGCATAGAAATGACCTGGAATGATCCTAATAACATTTTGTGAACATTAACATTTCTATAACTATACACATTTTTTTTTCTAGTTGATGAAATAGCATTACATGGTAAAGCGAAAGATCCACTTTCAGACCTTGTGATCTATAGGACAGATGATGTTAAGGTCATGTTTCTTTGGCCTACAGTTAACGAGCAGGGTGTCCTGTGGCCAGCACAACGACCAACCGCCTTTACTTTCTCCCTAACTTAAGTCAGGGACCCATTAGAATTAATGGACTCAGAGGTGCCCTACAAATCCTGACATTCAAAATCTGTCTTCACAGGGATTCAAACCCAGGACCAAGAGTTCAGAAGCCAAGCGATTAAACACTTAGCCACTATGCTGGTTAACGAGCTGGTGTCATATGGCCAGCACAAAAACCAAGCGCACTTACTTTCCCCAACTTAAGTCAGGGGCCCATTAGAGTTGGGTGGACTCAGAGGCGCTCTAAAAATTATGAAATTCCAAATATCAGCCTTCACAGAGACCACGCCACCATGGTAAGCAATATCATATAAACCAACTTTGAAACTAAAAATTCAACTGTTAGTATCTGGCTCGATTGGATAAAATTTGAAGGTAGAGATCCTACAAAAATGTCTACTGCAGGTGGGATTGTACAACCACAGTAGCTTAAAAATTCTCAAACGCATTTTAGAAAATGACCATCTTAGTCTTTCAAGACTTTAGGAGCCTATCATTACTATGATATGTAACATCACTTGATTGGGATTTCAGATTCAGCATAATATTCAGTAAAATTCTGCCCTCTATTTAAAGACTTTCAAAAAAAAAAAAAAAAAAGATAGGTTTTGAATTGAAGACAAAGGTTTGTGGTTTGGTACAGGCCTCTCAGAATATTACCACACGAACAGACTAATGGTCCAAAGTGAAATAGAAATTGTTATTCCAATGTACAAGTGTTGAGCCTCAGTACAAGTTAGAATGTGCATTTTTCTATCCTGGACATATTTCTATCTTCAGCTAATGTCCCCACACCTGACACCAAAAAAAAAAGAAAAGTCAAGGGTTGATGAAATATTGCCAAATATCACAGCATCTCACGAGATCTAAAAGGCTGAAATATTGCCAAATATCACAGCATCTTATGAGATCTAAAAGGCTGAAATATCGCCAAATATCACAGCATCTCATGAGATCTAAAAGGCTTTTCTAGGCCTAGTAGGGAGTCGATGAAACTTTGTATCAATCAATGTAGAAAAACATTGCATCATGCCTTCAACTTTTTATCTTTCTAGCTCTAAGAGCAGGCAAGCCAGAACTTAGTTATGTGTTTTTAGCTACTTCAGGATAATCCTAATTTACTACCAAGCCTATGGAGAATAGCTTGAACTACTTGCACAGAGGATAGCATGCACATAGAGGGGAAAAGCCATGGCTTACTATCAGGCATATGAAAGAGGATAGCCATAAATACTAGCTAGCCAAAAGAGGATTAAGTTACAAAATCATATATCTAGTAGCTCCTTGGAGTTAGCTATACAACAATTTTTTGTTTCAAAACAAGGGAAAGAACACAAATAAATGCTGATCCTGAATCCCTGATCTAAATTAACAACCACCTTTTTTTTTTTTTAGCCAAATACAAACATTTGTTTCAACACATGATGTCCAACAACAATTATCACAATACTAAAAACAAGTTGTTCAAAATATTAAAATGAAATAACAAAAACATGTAAAAACAAAAATGATACATGTCCAATATCAAAACAAAATGCATGTCCAAACTGGCACACAAAAATAAGATATCAATTTTTTTTTTTTTTTACCTTTGTAGCTCTGCCCTTATGAAACATGTAGCAGACACAAATAGGAAATAACTATGTACATAAAAAAACAAGTAATGGAGCAGTCCTATTTACAAGTATCAGATACTAATGAGCCATTACTGTTGAATGACTAAGTTATATTAAATAAAAAAAAAAAAAATTGTGGGTTCAAGTGCTCTGACAGTTGAAATAAAATCAGGGTATTTAGTTAAGTTATACTTTAACTACATGATCTAACTCTAAAGTAAAAAAAAATAAAATAAATGTGTGTCCTGACAAACATTGTTAGTTCTCATTATAGTTCAAAACGTCAAAAACTGATTTCAAATACTCAATTTTTAACTAAAATATTTTTTGTCTCATGGCAAAACCAAAATTGTACTTGAAAAACATTGTAATTTATTTGTTTTGTTAATCTGTGGTGTGAAGTGAAATTGCAGGTGATATTAATACTGACCAATTACAAAATACTTAATTTGTTTGCACCCCTCCCCCCTCCAAACAAAACAACTTATGAAGTTAACAAGTGCCACACCACACACTGAAATGGAGGTTCAATTTGGCCACAACAAACTTGGTATCAATTTAGCAAAAACTAACTTAAGATTAATTTGACAAAGATTACAGTATGGCCAGTAAGGATGACCCATCCTTAGCAATCTCAAAGAATGTGACTTTTCTAGAAATGCTAAGTTTGGCTGAATAAGTTAAATGATTAAGAAAGATTTTTTTCTGCCTATTAAATGACCGCTTGAGTCTTGGCCGGGCAAACTCACCTCCGTGAGTTGAATTTTTACATCAACGTAGTAATGCTTGTTTTAATTGAAATGAGTCTTTACTTCTTTTACACACAGATGTTCTATCCACTTTTTTTTTCCCAAACCTCTAAGCACTATACTCTTCATTAAACTATGATAAGAATGAGACACAGACAATTGGAATGTAAGTGTTCGGCTTAGTCAACAAGTAAAGACAATCTTAGTTCGTGAAAGTTTCAACTAGACATAATGTCAACCTAGACTACAGGCTCCCACAGATACTGGACTTTGAATTCTTTCTAACTCTCTTAAGCTCACACATTGTTTGTGAAATGTTTGATGTTTCGTTTCTTTTCTTCTGAGTTGAAGGTAATCTACTTTCTACAGGACGACGGGGAATGGGAGTGGGCAGGGTGAGCCAATCTGTAACTAGAGGTTTCATTATACATAATTTGCATTGTAATGTTACGCTAACACAAAATATAATCTTCAGCTACAATTAAAAAGAAAACACTAACAAGAATATTAATCCAGGCATGTTTAAACGAAAAATTGATTCAGACTTTAGAATTATTTGTCATAGTCTGCTGAATAAAATAAACATCTATAAAGTTAAAACACACGACACTGAATAGGAATACAGACATAAACCTGCAGCCTATTGGCTCCATGTTTTATTATAGGATATTTTATTTGATTATTTTCATTCTCTTTTTTTTTTTTTTTTTTTTTTTTTTTTTTTTTTTTTAGAATCTATTAATTCTTTTATAATCTGAAAATTATTTCACTATTTTGGCATGACCCAACAAAATAGTGCCAATATTTTTTTTTTTTTTTCATTCAATTTTCAGTAAATACTTCAAATATTGTAAAATATAAATAGGCAAACATAATAGATTACAATTAATTATAGTAAAAAAAAATAAAGAAATTTATCCTATTTATTCCAAAAATGCATTTGAAAAACTTGCACTCATCATCACACAAAGAATAATACTTCCAGATTTTCAGGAAGGCTTACGCAGAGTCAAATAGTATGCTATGTCATGTAGAAACTCCATCAGTGGCTTGTTTCCATACATTGGCAATATAGCTTCAAGACATCTGTTAAGTTGGAGGTACTTGTACCTTGACTTCGTTCTCAATCATTGTATCTAAGAATTCTGTTCTCAGTGGACTGCTGTTCTCTGAGGAAATCGGATTGTTCACATTGGGGTGATGGTTGTCAGGTGATAGTAAGCTTGACTGATCCAGTCAGTCCTAAAAGATAGCTAATGTTGTGACGTCAGATGACCCAGTTTGATCAAAGAGAGCTTCCACCAGTAGATTTCTGATTATATTGTAACATGTATGTGTAACCCACAAAATCATTATATGAGTGACCAGATTTACAACAGAGCAAGAATGAGCCTCAACTTTAAACCGGGTCCCTACATTAAACAAATATATAATTTTTAACAAAATAGGCATATTAAACACACAAAAAAAAAGAAGGAAATGAGATTTAACTTTCAAGTACTCTCTTCACACATATCAACATACTATTAGAACTGTTTAAAAATAAGCTTGAAGAGGGAAGGGGGACACAAAAACTCCTGCCCAGAGCCTTCACTTCAAAAAATCAGATATTTATTACATATCATTAATAAACCAGCACTATTTTGTTGGAAAATTTTGCGCTATTTTGTCAAGTACAGGTACCGGTAATCCTATTTTGGAAATCAAGACTTCAAAGATTTTAAAGTTTGAATTCACTCTGCTAGCCCCACAAGATATTTTCAAAAAAGAAAAAAAAAACAAACATAAAAAAAAAAAACCACTATCATTTCATGTAAACATTTCTATTTCATTCACCTTCTCAATCCACAAATATATCAAAGTAAAAGACATCATTACATCCATTAATGACTACAAACTGTACAAAGTAAAAGACATCATTACATCCATTAATGACTACAAACTGTACAGAATCACTCAGCTATATTATGCTGTCCAAATACTGATTACAAATATTACACTACCTGGAGAAAGATTACCCTCAGATACCACAAGCTGTCTGCTTAAAAGGAAAAAATTATGATTGACATGACAGTATATACTGATATACATGGTAAAAATGAAATAAAGATTTCACACAAAAAAATACAAATTAAATAATAATTTATAACTTAAAATTTACAAAGTCAAAACTCTGAAACAGAACTATTTGGTAGAGATATAAAAAAAACAACAACAAAAAGAACTATATACATCAATAAACAATATTACTATTTCCCATTACAAAATGTTACAATGACAACCCTTACAGACAGTAAGTATTTGTGCAGATGCTTTCCAAATAAATTCACCATGTCATATATACTTTTTGCTTTTGCCACAATGAGGTGAAGACGGAAGATATAAAAACATGAATATTGAACTAAACACTGACAGTAAAAGTTTACAAAACAAAGTTATAAATTATGGAAATGTAATATTTACAAGTTCTACCATTGGCATTCCAATGCTAATACAATCGTTCACCAACCCAACCCCCCCCCCCCCCAAAACTCTATGATAATCTAATATTGTGGGTACCTAGCTTGAGAGGGCATATGACAAGAAACAAAAAAAAAAATGTAGTTTTATCCCAGTAGAAGTGTAAATTTGATCATTACTGGTAAAATACATTTGATTAGAAAAAGTACAATTCTTTTCATGCAAAATAAAACTCTCCAACAAATTGTTAAAAATTTTTTTTATGAATTTTACAAGTATTATTATTTAATCACAACACTAGAAAAAAAAAACAACTAAATAATTTCATTTCTATCTCTCAACAGTCAGATGAAGTAGTGCTTTACGAGATGAACCGCAGTTGTTCTACGAATGAAGGCCAACTATATTCAATCTTCACAAGTGATTGACTTATGTGATTCAAATATCATCAATATCTCGTGAGCATTTATCTTAACTATACACTTATGAGCACTAGATGCGTACAAAATGTAAGTCACTGACGGTCCTTCCTAACCTGATAAAATACTGCACAGGTTCACATCACCTTCTTACTGTTACTTTTGTATAGTGCGTCTTTGAAGTCCTGTAGCATGCACCGTGCACTCTTGTTCAATCTCATTTGTTGTGGGTGTGGGTGTTTGTGCGGGGGGTATCTTGGAAAAGGTTTCTCTGCTGCCATTGGGCACACGACAAACACAAATCAAATCTGAGCTAAAACCTCCTGGTCCACATAGGGATTCAAACTCAAGCCTCCTTGTAGTTAGTCAATCCATTTGGGATGCTCGCAAGTTGTTTTACTATAATACCCATACAAAAGTCATGAAAAAAAACGTGAAGCCTTATGTAATGGTCACCACCGAATAAAAAGCTGGTAAAAAAATATTCTATAACTACTTGGGTCATGAATTACAACTTTTATGACTTGAGCTTGTTTCGGGTACAACCTGAGACTTTCTACTTACTGATAATTTTGCACAGACAAAAAACTAACCAGACTCTACATGGATACAGAGATATAAGCCAATTGATTAGGTACTAATGAGATTCTATTCACTAAGGATTGGCTGGCATGGGTGTGACTTCATTCGTGATGAGTGT